AAGTCGAGAGGTTAAAAAATAAACATATGGAAAAAGGTACCAAAGAAAAGACCTGATAACATCAACTACTACGCAACTAAGAAGACATAATATGTGGTGCTCATATGACAATGAAAAAGGATGCTGATAGAGTCATAAATAAAGGACACATAAATGACTGTACAATATGAAGCAAGCTTGCCTATATATAGATCAAGGTCGTTACATTATTAACCAACTAATAAAGGAAGATATAACGTGTATAGAGTTTAGACAAGGAGATAGGGAGTCAAGGGTGAGAAAAGTACAATAGAAATTGCACAAAAATAGAATAATACACTAGCGCACAAAACTAGCTAGGTGTGGTTCTGATAAAAAGCTATAGCAAAGAAGATTACCGAACTCCCTGACCATCTCTTTCACAGGCTGAACCAAACCCGATTTTCGAGTTTCGGTGATGTGCAAACAAAATTCTCTCAAGTTTCCTGAACGACGAAGACTCGTACTCTTTGAGTCGAATCATTGATCAACAGATGGAACTGAGTGGCCGCGCACATGGCGGACCGATAATTAAGAACCTGGGAGTTAGACGTGTGTGGAGGCAACCATGCAGGAAGCCAACAGTGACTGTAAGAGCAACAGCTTAGTTCCCAAATCAGCACTTCATCTTCATCTTTGCCCAACCCAAGCCCCAGTATGACATCACCGAGACACCAACCCTTTTCGAAGGTTGCATGCATGACACTACTAGAATCACCAAGCTCCATCTCGGTCATCTCCACGATCCCTCACCACCATTGGCCAGCCTAGCTCCCTACCATGCCCTATCTTAGCCTTTTTCCCACTGCTTCATCGCGATTCCAAGACGTCAATGCCATTGCCAAACTGCATCTCTGTCACTCACTCATATGCCAAAGCATTCAGGGGAGAATCAATCTGGCGCCTTGCTGTGCCGGCATCTCATTCCCATCCCACGAACTCATCTTACTTTAGGCAAAAAGGCGTGCAGGCAGAGGTAGTGACGAACTGACGAGCTTAGACCCCGTCTCCAACAACCGCGACCCGAAATACAAGATCTATTCGTCATTTGGGTAGCGCTACAGGCAAAGAGTTCAGTACCTATTTTTTTGTCTTCTCCAACAACAAGACTCAAAAGACAACACTTTCTACAAATAGGTCTCCAGGAGAGAGGATACTCAGATTTGGATTATGTCTCTCCTGGTACCCAAAATAGGTCTTCCATATAGGTATTTTGTTGGAGACTTTGGGTATTGTGTTGGAAACCCATTTTGAATTTGGGTTCCCCAATAAATCTCCTGTTGGAGACAGCCTTACCAGGCCATCAGTGCTGTATGAGTAGGGAGACCTGAATAAGCAGCAACTCTTCTTTTCCAGGACACAATTGCTCGGTAATGGAGTTCATTATTTGTGTGCATGCTGCGCCTTGGCCTGGCTGGCCGCTGGCATATACGAAAGCGACGTTCTAGTTCTTCACACGTAGACCTCCCATCAGGTTTGAGCTCGATCCATCTATTCGATCACGATCAGGGACCCCTCCATCTGCTGCTGGTTGTTGTTGCAGATAGTAGCTGGAGAGACGTACTGGTGGTTAGGGTGCCAATGTAAAGCACTGTTGCAAAGTTGCTGCAAGTGTCGATCGTGTGAGAGTGGATTCGACGTGTAAAGGAAGTTGAGCCCTGCGAACGAACGAAAAGAAGATCGGCAGACGACGGATGTGGGATCTGCACTTGGACGGTTTATGCGGAGAAATGCTCGCGCACGCCGCACGAATCTAGCAGCCGCAGGTTTCCTCTTGATTCAGCATCCAGCAATGGCAATGATGAGTGGACAAGTGGATATCTTTTCCATGCGACTCCATTCCTGATTGGGTTTTGTTCATTTGTCAGCCGCAGCAGGCCGTGATAATTTATCAGCTAGATAGGCCTAGCGCTTCTGATCTCTCATTCTCTCCTCCACAAGATCGTCCTGGTGATCAACTTGCTGATGATCTCCTCCTTCTCATGCATCATGGAGTAGTTGTGTATTTTGTTACTCCACTTGAAAGTTTAAACGCAAACATGAGTAATGACTGGTTTTTCCTAGAAATTGCAGTGCAACGTATTATTAGGTCTCGTTCGGTTGTGCAGGAATCATCTCCTGGAAAGATTCCTAGCTAGAATTATTCCTACCACAATCCTAAATTAACTTGAGTGCCCAAAACCACCAAGGACAGTGCTTAAATCGCCAAGAAAATGATACTTGGCCACAAACCATCAAACAACCTCTGTCAAGGATAAAAGACAAGGGAAATTAGTTTCCTTGACGGTTTTGACATTCAAGGATGATTTTCTTGAAAGCTAGCCGCCAAGAAAATTAGGACCATACTTAATTTGCCAAAAGGACAAAAAAATGTTACGACCATTAAGTAAATTAGTTTTTAAGAGGGCCAGCAACCTTCAACAAAATATTCCTAACCGCCAAAGAAATTAGTTTCCTTGAGGGCAAACGATGAGAAGCGTACATGACGTCTTCAGAGTGGTCGTTGCCGAAGCGGACAACTGGATCCAGGCGGGGTTCAAAACGCTGCTGCCCTTCAGTGCTGTTTGGCCGCAAAATACAGTTCCATTGTAATACAAACCGTTTAATCCAGTAGACAGGACTTCTAGGGGCCTTAACGATGGTGTCTCGCCACCGTTTTTGGTCGCTTGTGTAAGGGCTAAAACTTTCCTCTTAACGAAAAACGGGTATAATATACCTGATTGAGAAAAAAAAAAAGTTTCCTTGAGAGCCAGCAATCTCCAAGGAAATAAAGAGCAATAGAAAAAAACATAAATCAATGAAAGCCGTGCCTGAAAAACACTTACCACTACACCTCAAAAGCAACTTATGACTAACTGAATTATTTTTTCTATTGTACTCACTTTGTTGAATCCTGTAATGGATATTTGATATTCTAAATGATTTCAAATGTAAAAAGCTCGAACTAAAAAGTTTTAGATTTCTTTGAACACTATAACTTTGGTTTAGGTCATATCTGCATCCGAGGTCATTTCGAAAATTCAAAAAATTTGAATTTTAAAGCTCCGAGAATTTTCTTGGGGGTTTCAAATTACACTCAAGAAAATATGAATTACCTAGGCGGTTTCAAATAGCACTCAAGGAAATACGAATTACCTTGGCGGTTTCGAGTAACACCCAACGAAATGGGTAATTACCTTGGCGGTTTGTAATAACACTCAAGGAAACATGGAACTACTTTTGTGGTTTGATTTAACACTCAAGAATATGCATTTTCTTGGAGGTCTATGTCTGCAGCCAAGGAAACTACACTTTACTTTGCAATTTTGTTTTGGCCCTCATGGAAATCTTTAGCACTCAAGGTAATTCAAGATTGTGGGAGTGCTAGGCGCATTCTAAGATAACCGAACCAGGATATCCCCACCTACAAATAAAGTGGATCACCAGAAAGCTAAGTGGACTTCTGATGATACTTCATGTAACCAATAAAGATCTGATAGATGCGTGTTGTTAGAGAAGTAGCCAACGGATAATTGCATGAAAAGTTCGTATTCTAAAGGTAATGAAAACTGGCATAGCAGAGGTGAAGACTATATGCTGATTTTTCTTTTTACCATTTTTAGTTGCTAAGATAAGAAAAAATAATAAGCTTCTATGCTCTCTTACAAATTTATTTGTCCAAACTCACCCGTCTTTGGGATTGGTGATGAACTTAAACTGGTTGATCGATCACTTAATGCTACAACAAACTATTTTTTTAAAGAAATATTGTTCATGTTTATCAGTCTAGTCCCAAACAAATAAATGTTATGCGTTTATTTCATCCTATATCTATTGACATATTGGGTTTCAGGAATGTGCTATACATAAGTCTGTATTCTTATAAAGATTTTTGTTGATGTTCTGAGCATATTGGGTTTCAGGAATGTGCAAAACTCATTTGTGACATGACTCTAATCATTTCCTATTTATTGCTTAAGCTTTGCAATCTGCAAAATGATCCGTCTAAATGCTGGTATATACAGAAGGCAACAAAATAACATTTCTAATACTTAGTGGAGTATGTATCTATGTCCACCAAGCGGTTAAAAAAATTCAGGGTTACGCCATACATGCATCTGAACTATATACACTGTAATAATGCTAGTTGAGAGGAAGTAATAGTTTGGTTCTCACGAGAGAAACTTTGTACTCCGTCCGTTCCAAATTATAAGTTATTTTAGCTTTTCTAGGTATATTGCTATGCGCGCGCGCGCACACACATATATATATATATATATATATATATATATTTTGTATAGATATATGATAAAAATAATATACCTAGAAAAGTTAAAATGACTTATAATTTAAACGGAGGGAGTATATACCTAGGATGTTTTTTTTGTACTTGTAAAGCGCAGCACTCGAGTTCGCCACACCATGCCATTCCCATGTATCCAGTTGGTTGCAACAAGGATTCCACCAAGGCACCAACTGATGTATGCACGCTTTTCAGACGCGACAAAAGTTTGGACCAGTGAAACACCTGGGGAAAAGTTACTCGAGTATTTTACAACTTGATAGTGTGATACACACAACCGCGCTCATTTATCATACAAGCGAATAAGCGATTACAACTTGGGATGCTAAGATAGGTAGAAATACTAGCTAGTACAATTCAGAAATCAAAGATGATAACAAAAGCAAAACTGCCACGCTTTCAGTTTCAGTTTCAGTTGTTGGGTTCGGTTTTGCGTGCGCCTTGGGTGATGAAACCGGCGTGTTTGGAACGCATGCAGGAGAGCTTTGTAGCGATCGAACTGCAGAATTCTTTCTTCCCAAAAGTTCGTGCCAAAATCTCCATTCCAATTTCCAAACAGCTGCTACCATTTTCCCTAGTAAGTATAGTCTGCTCGTCGTAGCTAGACGAACAGTTGAGACTTGAGAGTTCAGCGCTCGATCAGATGACGACGACACCGCCATCCACCGGAGGCAAATTATTGGGAGTCTGATGAGGCCGATCAAACCGCACTAGCAGCAGCAGCAGCAGCTCCACGTACACCGGAGGATGACCTCACGCCATTGTTCCCGATGTTGCACCCCGCCGCGTCATCTCCAACGACGATCGCTGCTCCGTCTTGCATGGAGGATGCCTGCACTGCCATCGGCAGCGCCGTCTTGGCGTCGGCCTCCTTCTCCTGCGTCTCCTTGTGCTTGCCCCAGAGGACGGAGTAAAGCCCGGGCACGATGAGCACGGCGCCGAGGACGCCCCCGAGGTAGATCTTCTCGGAGAGGATGAAGGAGCCCATGACGGCGACGATGATCATCATGAGCGGGCTGAACGCCGACGCGAACACCGGCCCGGTCTTCTGGATCACCAGGCCCTGCACGTAGTACGCGATGCTCGAATTCACAATGCCCTGCAGGAACGGAACATTCAACAGCTCGTCGTCAGCAAGGAGAGGTCGTCAGCAGCATCATGGCTAATCAGCTCGTTGGATCGTCGTCCTTACGGCGTAGGCGGCGGCGAGCAGGTTCATGTCGAATCCGATGGTCCAGACGGAGGTGCGGCGCTCCATGACGAAGGTGACAACGATGGCCTGCAGCGTGCCGATGAAGCAGACGAGCGTGGTGAGCGACAGCTGCGCCGAGTACTGCTTGATCGTGTGCGTCTGCAGGACGAAGAGGGAGGCCCAGGCGAGGGTGGCGACGATGACGAACACCGAGCCGAGGAACCAGTCCCTGGAGCTGATCTCCGCCGCAGCGGCAGCGGCGGCAGGGGGCCTCGGCGCCGCCTCCGTGGACGGCGGGCGACGACGCGTGCCTGCTGGTCCACGCCAGCTGCATCAGCGGGCCCTTGTAGAGCGTCATCAGCATCGCGCCGGCCACGGTCACCACCGTCCGAGGACCTTGGCCTGGCACCTCACCTTCTTCATCTGCAGCTTCTCCATCCTGCACGCGCCGTCGTCACGTACGATCAAACACTGTTCAGTATCAGATGGTTTGTTGGATGCAGCAGTTAACGTTGTTTAGTTCGTCTGGAAAGTGCAAGTGCACCTGAAGATCACGGCCAGGACGAAGGTCATGGCCGGCAGGATGTTGCTCATCGCGCAGGCGAACGTGGGGCCGGTGAACTTGAGCCCGGCGTAGTAGAAGTTCTGGTCGATCACCGGCCTGCAGAAACGACAACAAGTGAAAACTGTCATTCTCACTCGAATATACACATATATGCCATCACTATCTGTCAGGTTATTCTTGTCAGCCCACGAGATGCATGCATCAACGAGCAGCAGAGCATAGTACTAACCCGAGCATGGCAAGGATGAAGATTTGCCAGAAGATTGGCCACGTCATCTTGGGCCTCACCTTCCTGCAGCCATTAATTTTCCATAGTCGCATCGTGATCAGTGTGCTAACTCGCCAGATAATCGGAAATGCTGATCAGCTACGATCAGACGCTAATAGCCGGACTGAAACTGAAGTGAAGGGCCGGGTAGGTAGGCGGGTACCTCTCGAGGACGAGGGCGAAGGGGGCGATGGAGAGCGTGGCGAAGGCGTGGCGGTAGACGACGAGCACGTAGTGGCTCATGCCCTGGTTCAGTGACAACTTGGTGAGCACGTTCATCCCGGCGTAGCCGAACTGCAGCGAGATCATGGCGATGTAGGGCTTCGCCTTCTCCACGAACCCGCCGCACCCCGCCATGGTGATCCTAAAAGTAGTTTTCTCGCTTCTCAACAGAGTCCGGGCTCCTTCACAGGAGGATGGCAATGGCAGGTGATGGTATGGTATAGAGCTCAGAGATCAGGTGACTTCTTGGAGCTGAGACGGGGCAGAGGTGATGGCTGGATTTATAGGGTGACTTCTGGGTCGATCGGAGGAACGAGGAAGGGTGTTTTCGGGTGAATGGTGACATGGTGTCGTCTCTGAGTGACATGTGAGTAAGGTGGGGCCCGCCCGGGCAGTGCTTTGCTGGATTCTTGTAGCCGTATATTCCGAAAACGTAGGCGTGCCCGGGTAGTGGCGCGTGAGTAGAATTCCGGCAGGGCCGGGTTTTTAGCCGAAGGCATGGGTTCAGTTATGTGCCCATGCTATAAAGCTGCTAATGGGTTTCTGCGTGGAGCATCAGAGCGATGGAATGGAATCAGAACGTGATGATGGCAGTGGCAAACCTGCCACCTACCGACTCCCTGGAGCAAAACTGACGCAGAATCGCCTGGCCATCTTCGGTGGGTATCTGCAGTGTAGTGTGTTTTTCTGATGACAATTTTAACAAAAAAAAGGAATTTTCGATTTTTTTTCTTGTTGAATAATGCCAAATCAAATAAAAAATATCTAGAAAGTCAAAAGGAAATGAATTAGTTAATTTAGTTAGAAAGAGAAGAGGACTCGCACTTGATTTAGTCGCGCAAGCGAATCCCATTCAATCGTTTACTTATAGAACGATGAGTCCATTGGAAAGTTCGATCATTTTTTTAAAATTGACAGTACGATGACTATGCGCGGATCATTGTTTATAGAGTGGTATTTGATGGGGGAAATAAGTAGTGTGAACTCATCTTTTGATGCAAACATAAAAACTTGTTCAGGATGCGTATTTTGGTCACAAAAAAGATTAAAATGATGCAGACGCATAGTGCATCCATAAATGAGCTTAGTTTCAAACTCATCTAATACAAATTCAAATGAAAAATGACAAATTTTCTGAAATCTTTATTGCAAACCTTTGTGGCAAGCTCAACACCGTTAGCGAGGGGAGCTCGGTGACCATAAGCTTATCTTCGTGGAGCTACAATGTGGAAAAAGGGTTTTGTTTTAGCAACCTTTTATCATGGGATACATCCTCAGCTCCATGAATTTTCATCTCTTGAATTGATTTCTACTTACTGCATTTAAGCTTATGCATTGTGTTTGTTTGTGTGGCACTTACTTTTTCTAAAGTAGTATAGGCTACTTCTTATGATTAGGTCTAGGTTGCAAAACTCTTTGCGGGTTTGGATAGGTAGAGCACACTAGAAAAATATAAGGTGGACATCACGTTAGATTAGTTTATTGTTTTCTAGTGTAGATCAAGAAAAGATTTTACATACCCAATTCACCCCTAAGCCCCCCCCCTTGTTGGGTCTTGGCCTCGCTAGGACTAGAGGTTTCCTGTACAAGGGACTCACCGAGCTCCAACTCTGGCACCTTCTCATCTCCATCCGTGATAGCAAATGAAACATCATTGACTAGGTCCTTGTCATTGCTTCCATCAACAGAGTCTAGCTCAATGCTTTGAAGCCCCACTTTTGCTTTCAATGATTAATGAACACAAGGCTTTGTGATCAACGTGTATTTTGTAGGAATTACTCATGTTGTTAGTCGCAGTCATGGCCACACGGTACTCTTGGTATTAGATTTTGGATTCCATGCATGGATGCAAAGGAAATTCATGGAGGCTACGGATTCTATAGATTCTAATTGCGACTTGGTGTTGATATGCACTTAGAAGTAGAATAGATCTTTGTTTTTTTGGTCGTACTATTAAGGGAGGTAGAGATGAGTATATTGACCTAGTTTTGAGGCTAGAGTGTTAAAGAGATGCACACATGTGAAAGATCTACCTAGGTAGCTTATGGGTGGCCTTGAAAGGATGAAAATCTGTTAAGGAACTCAAAGAAGTTGAATTGGATTAGAGTTCAAAAAGTTTTTTTTTTTTGAAAAAAATCAAGTTTTTTTTTGCAAGCTTCATCTGTTTTCTATTTATGCGATTGGTTTGAAACCCGCCAATCTGGAGTGAAGACCAGGTACTCCTAGAGTCCTAGTACAACTTGAGCATTGATGATTGAACGGAGCTAATCCTTAGGGGTGCTCAAACATGGGCTAAAGGGTTGTGGCAACTATCTGAAACCATGGGGGGAAAAAAATCTTGTTGTCTCTTGTCCATTGTACTTCTCGCATTTACATTTTATTGATCTTATTGTGTGCTTGAAGTATTTGGTGACAACTATGATTTGTTTTGTCTTAGTGTGATCTTTAGTAGCCAGGTTTTCAATTCCCCACCTAAAGACATGTTGCTAGCTAGTGTGATCTTGTTATGACTAGTGTGGCGGTCTTAAGGACTCTCTTTAGTGTTATATGTTTAGTTCTAGGGCTCGTTATATAAGAGGTGATGAAATAGAGTTGTGTTAGGTTAAAGTTGATTTAGTTTTTTATAGCCCAATTTACCCCCTCGCGGTTGGACCATTTTGATCCTTATACACCAGCAACTCGGAATCCTATACTACTTTTAAGTACAGGATGAGTTGGGATGATCTCTATGGAAACAAAATCCCACATTTATACGTGTCTTTAGGTCCTGATATAACCCAAAAAAAATGGAGCGCTTAAGGAGTTAAGGTACCGGATCAAAATAACATCAAGGCAAAAACAACTTCTGCTTGGCATAATTTGCGAAATTGTGCTATTATATATGTTTCGCCAAAAGGGGCGCAGATTATCCGTATGGCTCAGAGTAACGCAGCAAAGCACAACAAAAGGGAAACAGCAAAGGAACCTAAACTAAGAATAACAACCGTGCACTATTCTTCTTGAACTCTCCGTATGAAAGGTGATAAACTATTGCAAAGGCCGTGTAATTGAAGTGTAGAGACAAGACTTTCGGTTCAGAATCGCAAACATTTTCCAGGGCCGCTCTGCTATCTGCGCCAGTCACGCACTCACGTACGCCAGCATCTTTCTTGCTCCCAAGTGAAACTACACTTGGCTAGTTGGCTTGATCATCATCCATGAATATAATAGACCGTTCCCAGATCATTCAACTTTTTTCTGCCGATCTCCTCCAATATGGAGTACGTATCAGCAACTTCTCCAAGTCAAGTCGTGCTATGCTCTATATGCCTCTGAAGGTAAACCATTGCAAAGGCTACACAAGAAAAGAGGGTCGGAGGACGGAGAGCATTTCGCGTGCGTCACGCGAGTCGGGGATCCAGCAAATGGGGGCACGATTTCACTGGTGATTCGCCGGTGACGACGCCAGCGCGAGCGCGGCCGGCGGGTGACTGATTAAAAAACTCGGCTGCACTGCGTTCCGTTGCTGCAGCAGATAGGCACGCACTACGGGGAGTGCCCGGTGACTGGCTCTCTGATTCGGATTTTAGGTGGCGGAGAATGATATGATGCGCAACACGGCGACGGCGAGCTAGTTCGGCAAGACGGCAACTTTTCTGTTACGTACGTACGCACGCTGCTTTTTACAAGTGCCAGCGGTGCATTGCGGTGCATTTGCGTGATAAATCGTGCTGGAGATGCGTCATCGGTACAACAAAAACAAACTATATATGCTTTCTTACTTACACGAACTTATGTTCTTGCTTCAGTTGCTGAATTCAGGGCTGGCTATTCCTGATTGTTTTGCGCCCTCCGATGCAAGACTATTGCCATTTTTTTCAAAACTGTCAAACGCTAACAAAACTGAATTACGTATGCTGAAAGCATTTTGGAAGAACTAACTCAAAGGTGACACAGCTTCCTATGCCAATTTCTGTACCACCAGTGAAAGAATTTCAAGGAATAGTTACTATTTGCTATTCATAGAAGATAATGGCATCCCGAATGCCATACCACCTTGATAGAGATTCAGGCTCCTTTTAAAACATGGATTTTTTTAAAATCTTATGTTTTTTCTCAAAAACTAAACTGATTCTTATAACTTATTTTTTTAATTTTAATGAAAATCCTGTGTTTCGAAGAGGCCTAAAGTGACCCACATATTTAACCATACGTGATATTTACCACTCATAAGCCGCCACCAACCAGCCACATCCACAGTGATCCACTACACAATGGTTTGCAAAGCGGCTTCACATGTCAGCTAGATAGCTAGTTTTTTTTTCCACTTGACCATTGACGTGCCGATGTTTTTTTTTTGTTTGCCATCGCCATCACAACTCACAACACCGCTCCATTTTGGATCAGAAATAGCCCTAGGCCTAGCCCAATAAAGAAATAGCCATCCTTTTAAAAAAAGAAATAGCCCTGATGAGTAGCTAGTGTTTTTTTTAATGCCTCGCCAGTTCAAGAATGGAAAAAAATATCTAACTTCCTTCAACTATTGTGCGAGTTCGATTTTCCTCCCTCAATTAGAAAATCAAATTGTTTTAGAGTCCTCTAACTTTTAAAACCGTCTGATTTACCTTCCTAAACGATTTTGAATATGACTTTAGCTAACGTGGTACCACGTTACCCATCATGTGACGCTACATAAGTCGGTAAATTGGACTTCCATGACAGTTCATGGAGGTTGATTAGACTATAAAAAATTATAGAAATATATTTTTTCAAAAAAGTTATCAAAATATTTTTTGGGAATAAATATGCATTTTTAAATACTGAAATCTGACTTGATTATAAAATTTGTAACTAAAAAAGGTGAAACCGGTTCCATATTTTCTATAAAATCATGCTCTATGTATTTTTGAACTAAACACCACAATCTAGACCACGATTTTAGGAAACACATGAAGAGTAGTATCCTGAGCATATCTAAATTGCCTTGCTGCTCGATCATGTGCTCCTGGTGCGTACGCACACCTTCGATGACAGTGATAAATGATGAAGTTGTCGCGTCTATTTGGATGTTGTCGACCAAGTCACAAACATCAGTTCTGAGAAAGTCATAGGCCGCTGCCACTGATGGTCCAATGAGTTTGCATGCATCATCCCATGATATCCCCTGAAGAAGACAACGCTAATACAAAATTAAACCATGTGATAGATGTTCTTAATGTGTAATCAGAGCTTAAATTATATTTTTTATTTGGAATTTCTCGTGCATGTCTCATTGGTTAAGAAAGACATTTCTACCGAGGAATTTTGCAATTTGGACGTTGGGTTGCGTGGTGATTCACACTATGGTCTACATCCTCTGTTTCATATTTGGGTAAATTTCAAAACTTATGAGACTATACAAGGTTAAAATAATTCTAAGCAAGAAACAAAAAAGGTGGAGCATGATTTTAGGAAATATATGAAACTTGTTTCATATTTTTTTAGTTACAACACGTTTTCTATGAACTTTCTAATATTAAATCAGATTTTAGTATTTTTAAATACATATTTTTATTCCAGAAATTTTTTGGATACTTTTTTATAGTCTAATTGATATCATGAACTACAAAAGTCTGATTTATCTCTCGTTGTTAACGTGGCTCCATGTAGGACAGCTGGCATGGCGTCACTTTAGCCAAAACCGTTTTTAAATCGCTTAGGGAGCTAAGTTGGACGGATATAAAAGTGGAGAGAGTCTAAAATTTTGGTTTTTATTTGAGCGAGACAAATCGAACACATAAAAAATTGGTTTCTTATTTGAGTGAGACAAATAGAACTCATAAAGTAGTTGAGAGAGAGCTCAGATGGACTTATTTTCCAAGGATATCAGGCCTCAACGAGCCCAAATTGAGCTGGCCCATGGCCTTCTTCAGGCAGGCCCTCTCTCTTCTTGCGCCAATCTTGGACACAATTGCAAAGCCTTGGTCCTTGCTACTCCAAAATGCTCTCTTTGGGTTTCATAGGTCTCTGAAAACTAATAGAAGGTGTCAGAAATGGCGTGCAGACCATCATCGCCATTCGCCAGAGCCCGGAGGATATCGAGGCACCACCAACCCCACAGCATGACTCAGCTATAATACTGCGTCCCCAATGGCGGATCTCGTCAGTCGTCACAGTTCACAGAACCAAGGTTTCTCGCGTGAGTGCGTGCGCGGTGCACGTGTTGCAACTTGCAAGCGTACCCAGCTGGAGCAATGGGCTCCATGGCGGCGCCGCCGTGCCACCTCGTGGCCGTGCCGTACCCGGGCCGTGGCCACGTCAACGCGATGCTCAACCTGTGCCGCCTCCTGGCAGCTCGAGACGGCGTCACCATCACTGTTGTCGTCACCGAGGAGTGGCTCGGCCTCCTCGGCGCCCCGGCGGCGCTGCCGGACCTGGGCCCGCGCCTCCGCTTCGAGGCCATCCCAAACGTGATACCCTCGGAGCACGGCCGCGCCAACGACATGGTCGGCTTCCTGGAGTCCGTGTACACCAAGATGGCGGCGCCGTTCGAGCGGCTTCTGGACAGGCTCGCGCCGCCAGCGCCAGCGGCCATCGTGGCCGACGTGTTCGTGCCGTGGACCGTGGGCGTCGGCGCGCGGAGGGGCGTGCCTGTGTGCATCATGTGCCCGATTAGCGCCACCATGTTCGCCGTGCAGTACAACTTCCACCTGCTGCCACCTGCGGCGGCCGGCGGCGGCGCGTCTCCGGGTACTAGCAGCTGTCGTACTAACATTGTTCTTCTTTGGCACGTCAACATTTCTGCAAATTGATCTCGTGCTGTTATGCAGATGTTGCTGATCCTTGTTTGATTGAAAACTACATTCCCGGCACGAAATCAATCAGGTTCGCTGATCTTGCACCCACACACACCAATGCGATACTGCTGGACAAAATCCTTGAAGCCCACTCCTCTGTAAAGAAAGCGCAATGTGTCATCTTCACCAGCTTCCAAGAGCTCGAGAGCGACGCCATGGACGCGCTGAGGCAAAACCTTCCATGCCCAGTGTACACGGTCGGCCCCTGCATCCCCTTCATGGCACTGCAAGAGCACAAGGCCAATCCAGACGCTGACGGCTACATGGCGTGGCTGGACGCACAGCCGGCGGGCTCGGTGCTGTACATCTCGCTCGGCAGCTTCCTCTCGGTGTCCGCCGCCCAGTTCGACGAGATCGCCGCTGGCCTGGCCGAGAGCAAGGCCAGGTTCCTGTGGGTGCTCCGCGACGCCGACGCGTGCTCCCGTGCGCGAGTCCTGATCCGCGATCCCGCCGCTGGCCGCATCGTGCCGTGGACGGACCAGCTGAGGGTGCTGTGCCACCCTTCGGTCGGGGGGTTCTTCACCCACTGCGGCATGAACTCGACGCTCGAGGCGGTGTACGCCGGCGTGCCCATGCTCACCCTGCCCATCGCGTTCGACCAGCCGACCAACAGCCGGCTCGTCGCCGAGGTGTGGAAGACTGGGGTCGGCCTCAGGGACATGGCCCGCGCCGACGGCGTCGTCGGTAGAGAGGAGATCGCCGCGGCCGTGGAGAGGCTGATGCGTCCTGACACGGCCGAGGTCGAGGACATGAGGAAGCGAGCGGCGCTGTTGAAGGACGCGGCTCGGGCTGCGTCTGAAGAGGGTGGATCCTCGTGGAAAGATGTCACGACTTTTGTCAACTTCGTTTCACATTGAGATCTCCGAGTGTCAAACGGAGTCACTTCAGCCGTAGAAAGCTGCAGGTGCTGACTGCTGTGTATTGTGATCGATTCTCGGAGGGGAGTCTGTGTGATCGATCAATGTTAGCAGAATCTTCAGTTAGGCAACAATAAACATGCTGCTGCATCCAGTTGACAGCAGCTCTTTTAATTGTTCAGATCAAAGTTCAAAGATTTGAAAACCTCACAAGTAGCATTTTTAAAATTCATTTCGTGAAATCATTCGAAAGAAAGAAATGTTCAGTCAATCACGAATTAATAAAGCATTTTATGAAATCAATCAGAAATTTCCAAAGTTAAAGTGTTGTATAATTGGTTCTCAGTGAGTCACTAGGATCTTTGAATAATTGCTGCTTCATTGCTCTTTCCAACTAGTGTGCTTCACTCAATCACGAGGAGTCATTTAAATCTGTAATTCTGACAGACAAAACTGTGAAAAAACTTTAAGAAGACAAAATGTGATCTCTGAATGTTAGAAGAATCTTCAGTTAGGCAACAATAAACATGCTGCTTCATCCAGTTGACAAGTAGAATTTTTAAAATTCACTTCGTAAAACCATTGGAAAGAAAGAAATTTTCAGTCAATCACAAATTAACCAAGCATTTTGTGAAGTGTATAATTGGTTTCTCAGTGAGTCGCTGGGATCATTGAACATTTGCCGCTTCATCGCTCTTTCAAACAAGTGTGGAAATGTTTCAGGAATCATTTCAATCTGTAATTCTGACTGTCTTACATAACTGTGAAATTTTTTTGAAGGAGAAAAAATTCCAGGAGGGAGTCAGTGTGATCTCTGAATGTTAGCAGAATCTTCAGTTAGGTGCAACAATAAACATGCTCCTTCATGCAGTTGACAGCAGCTCTTTTAATTGTTCAGATCTACCCTTGTTCAGAAGATTTGAAGACCTCAGAAGTAGCATTTTTAAATTCACTTCGTGAAATGTCAGTTAATCACAAATTAACAAAGCATTTTGTGAATTTAATCAAAAATCGCTGACCCACTGGGATCTTTGAATAATCGCTGCTGCTTCCTTGCTCTTTCAAACAAGTGTGCTCAATCACGAAGTGTTTCAGGAGTCATTTACAAAACTGTGAAAAATCTTGAGATAAAATTCCCAGAGTTAGTGTGATCCTGGCAGAATTTTCAGTTAGGCGGCAACAATAAACATGCTGCTTCATCCAGTTGACAGCAGCTTGTTCAGATCAACCAGAGTTCAGAATCACAAACTAACAAAGCATTCTGTGAAATCAATCAGAAATTTTCAATGTGATTATTCATATAATTATGAATAGTAATGACCAAACAGGCCCTATAATATACTCCTGAGAATAGAGTATGAGATGAAAAAAATAACTCTCAAACTTTTATCATCCAAAGCAAACTCAAGCAAATCCCCCTTCCATTGTCTGTGACCTAGTAAAAATTCTAGACAAGGTCGCAAAGAGCAGCCGGTGGGTGCAGAGCAACACGCCCAAACCGCTCCGCGCCATACTTCTCGTAGACGGTCTTCAGGTTCGCATCAGGAGCAGTAGCATGGGACCTGAGCAACATCCTTGCGCCGTCCCTGATGATCAATGTACAAAAGAACTTTATGAGCACCACAAACAATCAAGTTTCAAAATCTTAAGGATTCATGGAGTGCAGCAGGGGAGGAGGAGAGCACTTACATAAGCTGCCGCTCGTGGAGGCCAGTGTGATGCTTCAAGGTTTCTGTCCAGAGAGGACTCTTCCTCAACGTGAGGCGAGCAGCATACACAGCGCAAGCAGCAACCGTCGAAGGATATGTCGTCACCATACCGTAGTCCATCAGCGTGAGCTCTCCGAAGAAATAAATCATATGCTGAAGCTGCACCCGTACGAGCAGAAGTGTCAGCAGTCAGCAGTTCCGCACAAAACAGGAACAGAACACACATGATGTGATGCAACAGAGGGCAACCGGAGCAGCTCTTTCTTTACCTGTTCATCAGCACTACCGGCAGCCTTGGCGAATCGCAGCAGGAAGTGGTACGGAGTGGGAACAGTAAGGTTCCACTGCATGCTGTTCAGAATAGATTTCTCCGCGACAAGAATCTGGGGCCGGCTGAATGCGCAATCTGCTATTTCGATGAAGTCATTTACCTGCGACAGAAAATTTTCAGGTTTCGAGCATCCAGAATAAACGGCAAGATACGAATGGAGCTTTGGCCTTACCTCCGGTGCCCAGATCTCCTCGTATTTGCAGGCGATCAGCATCGCTGCCATGCCAACGAGCTGGAGCTCCCTCCTCGGCACGGGCTGCAGCGACAGGTACCGGTCTACAATGTATATTGTGAGGTAGAGCGTTTCTGGCATGAGGTGGAATCTTTGGTGAGACTCGATGAGCCAGTCCGTGAGGGTGGCGCGCATTTTGGAGCTGAGCTCTGGCTGATTGCCCATGTAGTCAATGGGACGGCTGTCATGCTGCAAAACACAAACATGGTGTGTATGGTGAAGACAGATTCAGAACAAGCTTGCTTGAGAACAGACTTGCTAAAGATGAACCCGCAGTTACCTGGGCGGTCTTGTAGAATGTGTAGATGTCCTCAACGTAGTCCACCAAAGCAAGCTGGTTGTCGCCATCGAACTTGTCAATATCCTCAATGAGCGGCTTTGGCTTCTCGGTAAGGCCACAGGCAGCCTGACATCGACGAGAACAAAGCAACAGGTTTATACAATGCTGAACCGATCAGCATCGATGCAAGAGCAGAATTGTTGTTGGATGCAAGAGCAGAACAAGTGCTGAACCTTAGAACGCGCAGAAAGGACGGTTGAAAGCGTGTACACGTGCTTCTTCCTCCCATCCTTCTTCACAAAGCGGCTGCTGCCGGCGGCACCCTCCGATAGCTTCCTGTTCCCCTCAGGGTCTTTGGCGCCACCCTCCGATGGCTTCCGGTTCTCCTTGGGAGCTTGCTCAGGACGAGGGATGTTCTTCGCGGGCACTTTCCTAGCTGGTTTCGTAACGGCGCGCGCCGCTACAGGCTGAGCAGGAGCTACGGCGTTCTGCAGAACCACAACCACAAATTGGAATCAGACCAAATCAGATGCTTCGGATGCAAGAATCTGCCGAATCAAATCAAATGCAGTACTAGTGGCTCATCCGCTTACCTTGTTCGCCAAAGCGGCCTTCAAGAGCTGGGCGCCGAAGCTCCTGGTGATGGGGCGATGGATCCCCTCCGGCAGCTTGATCCCCCTGTAACGGCGAGGCAAGCAAGTTTCAGAGGACAACAATATGAAAGAAAGAGAACGGATACAGAAGGCCGCGACGTTCTCTAGTGTCTTACCCGTCGAGGACATCGGGGGCGACGTTGCCAATGTCACCGAGCGCTGGGCGTGTAGGGTTAGGTCTGCCGGCGGCGGCCGCGTCTTTCTGTTTCCCCGCGATCCTCGCGGCACCTGACCATCATCGCCGAAGAGGAACGGCAATTCCATCAGCATTTGCACGGAGTGAAATTCGTGTGAAATCGAAGCAAAACTCCCCCGAAATCGTAAAGAAATAGTAACAAAGATTGGACTGTTTGAAACTGAAACTTTGCTTCACGTGAGAAATTCAGGAGCAGATCGATTGAAAAAATCGAATCAAACAAGCCGGACTACATCGCTATCAAATCTTGACGCACGAATCTAATAACGAAGCTAGAAAAGATCAAGAATCAGTATCCAAGAAGCCGGGATACATTGAAATCAAATCTTGACACGTGAATGGGAATCAGACGCCCCCTGGCAGCACATAGTATGAAAAGAAAATCCTTTCTTGGAGGAGGATCCAAACAAGCAGGCGAACAACAGATCAAGAACTGGAACTAAGTGCAGCGAAAGGCCCAATATTTCCGACCGCTCACCTCGGTTCGCAGGCTGTGGAGCGGCAGCGGCGGCAGCGCGGTGGTTCCTCGTCGCCATTGCTGAGTCGCCTCCCCAAGAACGCCGACGCCAAGAAATGGGCGACCGCTTGAAAGACGCGAGGCAAGGAGAAGCTCGAACGCCTCCTCCTCCTCCTTGTTGCTCTCGTCTACGGGTTCTGTGGATCGGAAAGGGAGGGAGGGAGGGAGGGGGGAGGCTTGTGCCTTTGGGGGTTGGCTGAGGAAGGAAGAAGACGGCGGTGGGGCTGCGGCTTTATTCGGATCAAGGGCGGCTCCAAAGGTCGGGAGTCGCGAGACGGCGAGCGGTGAGGAAGGCCGCAGCGTCTAGACGGGCGGGATCGAAGGGTCTGGAGGGTTTCTGGGGAACTAGCCGTTGAGGTTCTAAGCTTTGGGTTGGCGTTAAGAATTCGCCGATGCGGCTACCACCACCGCCGATTCGTGTTTCTGACCAGTTCAACCGTGATACGGACTTCACTCCCTTTTTAAAAAAATCAAAAAAAAAATTCACTCCTTTTTTTGAAACGAAAGGTAATTCAGTCCTGTATATCCTATAAAAAAATCACTCCCGTACCGGTAAAAATGGGAAATGACAGGATGGACAAGCCCACCACCACGAGCCTTTTTTTTTTTAAAAAGTGATGGAAAACGGCCTTTTGCAGTAGGAAAATGGTGGTAACTGGTATAGCGTATCGCGGTATTGGCGTTGCTCGTCTTTTATGTCGCCATCGCCACGGAACCTGCCTTATACCAGGGTTTTTTTTTTGTTCCTATTTTCATGTAGAAAGTCTTACATCAACCATTAACACATTTTATCATGCCTCCAGAGTCTACGAGCATAAATATCTAGTGATCATGATCCCTTAATTTAACGAAACATGTGTAATTCACCTATATTTACATAAAACTTTAGCTAAAAGTGATAGCCATCCATTCCAGTGTTAGCTAAAAGTGATAAGGTTGATGACCCTAGCAACATATTATGCTGGCTTCGCTCCTATTTGAACAAACAAATCTACCAAATGTTAGCAATCGATCAAGATCACTCTATGGAGTGACGAGCCTTGTGGAGTGTGTTACTGGCTATCAGTGGAGGAGCCTCGTACTGGCGAAATTGGACACTTGCCCCCTTCCTCTGAGAAAAGAACATGTATAAGCTTGTGAATCTCTAAAGTTTGGGTATAATTGAAGGGAAAGAGGAAAAGACGAGGCATAGTCTTGACACTCGGAGAGTCAAGACTCAAGAACCCACGGGAGTAGGAGTAGGGGACACGGCAATCTCTCTGATGAGACTGCCGATTTCAGGTCGCCAGAAACGGACGCGCCTCTCCCCGGAAACCGGCCACATCTCTGAGGCTACCGGGCTAGAAGCCAGCAGCGTACTACGCCACGGTACAGCGATGGTCGCGATCATGATGCTCGATCGGCCACGCTCAGCTAGTCAGCTCCGACTCCGAGCAGATGCGTCATGCGTCATGCGATGAGGCGTCTCCAACACACTCCGCAGTTCGGAAAACACACAGTACAGTTACAGTAACAGGAAGGCAACTGACAGGCACGAGTCACACGAGCAAAGACTTGTTTTTTCCGATGCCTTTGATTTGCCAGCAGCAGGGGGTGCACGGCACGGCACCCGTTCGCTAGTCCTACCCACTGGCCACTGCCCCACTCGTTCAGATTCAGGTTCTGGGGTTCAGTGTTCAGTTTGCTTTCTCTGAACTCGTGCAATGAGGCGGCAGCTGAAACGTGAGGCCCGCCGGGCTCAAAGCGAGGCTACGACGGTTCAGACGTCAAGAGCTGCGAGAGAGATCGCTCGCTGTGTCACACCAGAAAGGGAGAGGGCAAGGACGGCGACGGCTTTGTTTACAGAGGTGCAAGGAGCAGGGTCTGAGGTTAGTTGCAGATCAAGAACGAACGCTCATGAGTCATGAAAGAAGCTAGCTACTCCGTACTCCGGTTGGTGGCGCTGGTGTCTCGTCTGACGATGATCGTCTCTCAGCTTCAGCCTTCAGCTGCAGGCCTTGGCCGTCCGGCGGCCGCGTCCCCACAGCGCCGGCCAGCAACCGATGCCCAGAGCCGTCTGTGTCCTGAAAGATTGGATGTCGGTTTTGTTAGCTTCGTACAGATATCACAAACGAATCTGAAGACTGAAACAGTAGAGCAGGAGCAGTAATCTGAAAGTCTGAAAAACTGTTTTTAGCAAACTGTTTCTGAAAAGGTGTACTCTGTCAAGGAAGAAGCTTCTGAAGGGTAAAGGCAGACTGATCCTGTGTACTTCGGTCAGATTATATGATCCTTGTTTTGTTTTTCTGCTTTCATGGTCATAAGTTGTTCCATTGTTGACTCCACAAAGCTTAAGACAGGTCAAAAGGATGGAAGAACCGTTTGGTCCAAAAGATATCGGTCCCAGGAAAAAAAAATGCATCCATCGATTATAACTTTCAGCGGCGTGTGGTTGAAAAAAAGAGTGTTTCGGATACAGACCAAGCACTCATGATGACCAAACGAAAAGCGTCGCAAAGGGGTGCAGTGACTAACGAGGACATCTAATGATATCATGCAGTTGCAGTAGTACTGCTGGATTAGGGCCTGATTCCTATAACGTAATAATTGTACTGTCCTGTGTGGAAATTTTTCAAAATAGCTATCGGATCCATGCGTTTCAAACAATCCATAAGCAATTTTTTTTCATCATAGCATATCAGTAACCCTTTGTCATCTAAGTCTGCAAGTAGTCAACTGCCAGTGTCAGTTGCTGTCACAAACAGCCTTCATGCGCTCTGTTGGTTCGGCTGATAAGCCATGTCTGAAAATATTATTGGCTGATTTGTTGTGAGAGAAAAATATTGTTCGTTGGCTGAAAAAATACGGCTTATAAGTCAAGAAAACAGGGCGTTAATTGCAGATGTTGATATTTTTTAAATAAATTCACATGTATGCATGATTAGCTGTGCTAATACAGAGAAGCACGAAATGCAACAGTGATTAATTAACCATGGAAATTTAAGGCTTTCATGGCAACAAAAACAACTGTAACCGCGCGTGATCGTCGATTCGGCACTGACCTGCTGGCTTTTCCGGCGGCGGTGGTGGTACGAACAGGCTTCGCCGGCGCGCCCTGAACGGTCCCGGGCGACGGCGGCCCGCGGCTGGGCCTTGGCGTGGTCATGCTCCTGGTGAGAAGCCCCGGCACGTAGAAGTTGAGCAGAACGCCGTCGCCGCCTCCGCCGCAGCTCCCCCGACTGCCGCCGCTCCGCCGCGCCCTCAGCCGCGCCGCCTGCTGCCGCTGCTGCTTCGACGCCGCAGCTGCCGCCGCGGCCGCGGTCGGGCGATCGTCCCGCGGCGCCGCCGGGGCGCCGAGGTCCGCGTCCGCGTCCGCGCTCGGCGGCCTGGCGCCGGCCTCCACGAGGTCGGAGAAGGAGAGCTCGCGGTCGGAGCCGCTGCCGCCTCCGTCGGGGAAGCCCGCGAGGAGGGCCAGCATCTCCTCCTCCCGCGCGGACAGCCGCCTTCCGCCGCCCGCGAGCGCGAGTGCCTCCTTCATGGATCGCTTCTCTGTCTCCCTCTTTCTCCACCTCGATTGCGCGGCGACGGCAGGGAGCGAGCAGCGCGTATGGTATTCGACTATTCGTGGCCGCGCGCGCTTGCTCGTGAGGTTTTGGGATAGGTCCCGTCCTCGACTGGAGGCTTGATGGTGTGCCGCCGTCGCTTTTGTAGATAGAGGAAGAAGACGTGTGGGCGGGCGGGTTCGCCTCCTTTGATGCGCCGGGTTAAGCAAAGAAAAGACACGGACGTCGGAGTGGCAACTGGGCTGTGATGATACGCAGCCGCAGCCCTTGCCCGGTCTCCCTTTTCAGTTTCAGAAGCTTCTTTTTGCTTTTGGGAAGGTTTGCTGTGTGCTGATAATCTGATCGATGCGCTGTACCATCACTTTGTGCTTACGGTTACTGATGCACCTTTTGTAGTACAGTATTTGTCATTCTGTGGCTTAGGCCACCCAACGCTACACGTGGCTGTTAGCCTCGGCTTCCACGTTCGCAGCAAGCAGCTGATTCAGCTCAAACAGTGGCTCCGCAGGGTGTCAGGGGATCCTGCAGGAGCGGCGTATGCTTGATCCCACGTAAAGCTCAAGCCATCTCTGAGACACGCCTTGGAGGCAGAAAAATGAAAGCCCCATCACACGTTTTGTTGGACCATAGGACAAACAAGAACGTGGTGTTCTGGGAATTATGGACCAGAATAAAAATTGAAGTTTTGGCTTGATTTTTTACTGAGGCCAACGCTGCTAGCCCCCGCTGGCCCTGCCCTTACTGTTCACATTCACATTCCGTTTAATAATATTGCCACTGAAAAAATCCAGATGAGCTCTTTAATCATTGATTTTACGTGGGTGTGGTCCAGGGCCGGCGTTCCAGAGGTGCGTTCGCACCACAGCACAAGGCCCCAAATCATATACGGACTACGACTATCATGCAGCCTGTTCGTTTTGTCGTAAACGATAATAGATTATTTACTGCTGGTTGGTTTGGTGTGCGAGAAAAATACTGTTCTAGATTATAATCCACGATCGTCTACGACGAAACGAATGAACTACTAGGTAGGTAGTTAAGCACGCTTCGCTGCGCTGTTTTTAGCCTCACTTGTTCTCGTTGTTGTTTTTGTTGGAGAAAAATAAGAGGCTGAGAAAGCTTGGTGATCACTGTTAGTTTTTAAAGGACAGTTGTTAGTGACACCGTAGAGGACGGATGCCATCCCGCTGCAGGGCTGTTTGGTTCGTGTACTGGCCTGGGAGCTGACGCCCAGGCAGCACCGATCCACCCCAGGCTCAGCAAATCCAACGCCCGAGGATGCTGCCTGGCCCAGGTAAGTTGGCCATGTCAGCGTCCAATCCTCCCACGGATATAATAAATTTTAATATATGAAGAGAGAAATTATCGCACTCTAGTAATCTATTTATATGAGAAAATGATAAACTTTCACAAGTCCTACCCACTGGAAAAAAAAAATCTAGATGGGCTCTTTAGCATTGCTTTACTCGGGTGTGGTCTAACAATAGATTGCAAATGTTGACGGGGGCTACGGCATTAAAATAGGCTTTCAGCTTCGTCGTTCGGCAGGATTGCAGGAATGACGTTGCTTTTTTTTAAATAAAAAAATACCAAACTCACATGCAGGTATTACATAGACGTTCCCTAAAAAAAAAGGTATTACATAGACGGTTCTAGACGTAGTTATTACCTCATTCTAAAGAATGCAATTCTGAATTACATTGATTGATCAAACTTTCTTTCTTTTCACTAATTTAAAAACAAAATGTTCTTAATATTTACGACTCTAGATGGAAATACTATAAAAATATATTTCATGTTTAATTTAACGATACCTTTTCAATATCATAACATTCAGTATTTTATAGATCTGGTCAAATTTAAAAATATTTTACTTCTCAAAAAACAAAAAAAAAAGTAAATCCTTTCTAGATGGGAGTACATTGAAGGAAAGAACATAATCAGATAGGGTCTGTATGGTTGGGTGGCTAACCTCTAGCCAGGTTTCAGGGAGCTACCTTCGGCCTGTTTGGTTGCCTGTTTAGAGGTCGAAGCCAGGCTCCAAGAAGCCACCCAACACCACTTAGCTAGGCTCTAGAAAAACATAGACATTGGTCGTTCTTTGGAAGCCAGGGAGCGAGTCGACAATTAATTGTGGAAATCTTGGCTAAGGTAGAACACATTTTGTCCCATTATTTCAACCTAGTTTTTCATATGCAGAGGTCATGAGACTTCTGAAACTTCAAATCAAGAAACATAAAAGGTCTTTATTTATTTACACATCCTATATCTCGGTTGCACATAAAACTTAGGGTTAACATGTAGATTTGGAGGACGAGCAATAGCTTGGTTGGTCTGCTTCCTCGTTGTTGGAGTGGCCGCTTGTGGGTTGGATCCCTGGCTCGGACGAACCTCGTGTGCCTCACCAGGGATTTTTTCCCTGAGGGAACTAGGCGGGTGTGTGATGAGTAGTGTGTGTGCGTGTGTGCTCGGTAGACATGTTCCGAGACTTATTGGGCAATCTTATATGTACTTGAGCGTGCAGTCAATATATATGGTGTCTAATATGAGTCTTATATGATATACCAGTGCTCTTGGCGGTGTTCAAAGAAGAAAAAAAACAGGGCCTTGGGAGTTAGGAGAGTGACGTGCACCGTCGAATAGAGTTCAGGCAGTATCATCGTCGGTGTTAACTTGCATGATTTTTAGGCAACTCATCATCATTATGTATTAGCAACGTCCTTATTCTTTTGTGAACACTTGAATCAAACACATTTTTCTTACTACGAAACACAATATATACGTAGACGCTACTTCCTCCATTCCAAATTATAATTCGCTTTGACTTTTTTGGTTCATATATTTTGCTATGTATCTAGACATATTATTTATCTAGATGAATAGTAAAATAGATGTACCAAAAAAGTTAAAACAACTTATAATTTAGAACGAATGGAGTATATGTCAAGGCTAATTAAGGCCATAAGTTGGACTAGATCACGGCTTCACGGGATCAAGTCCCTGTAGCCTATATTGTCCAACGTGGCGGTGATGTACACAAGGGCGGAGCTAGAGCTAATTTGAGGGGGGTGCGCTTGCCTCATGGACGAGTAAACTTTTTATCACGAATATAGTGAAAATTTGAACATTATCACTGTTTTTTCATTTTTCTGTGGATGCCCACAATTCTCTATATAGATCCGCCCATGGATGTATACTTTGTTGGCAACTGAGCGAAGCAGGTTGTTTGGCAAAATAATAATAATAATAATAATAATAATAATAATAATAATGATGATGATGATAATGATCATAATGATGATGATGATGATGATGATAATAATAATAATAATAAATAAATAAATAAATAAATAATGAAGCAGGTTCTTTTTCATCAAAATTACAAGAGTTTGAAGGTTTGAAGCAAGTACGGAGTACTTAAGACGGTTATAGGTTAGATCGTAGCAGGGTGTTAACAGTTTGTCCTATGGAGGCATTAGACTGGAACCGGGACGTTAACAGTTTGTCCTATGGTGGTTTTGACGACGATGTACGGATCATAAGGACAAAGTTCTGATGCTAACATGCCAACTAACCGTTCACTACTGTGTGTGCATCTCAAATGGGACTTGGCACAGTGGCGCATCAGAGTTCAGAGACGACTAGGTACACGGTTTCTAGACAAGGTGACCAAAACTCATCGGAATCAATCGAACGCTGAACGTCCAACCGATGTGGCTCAGTCCAAAGGCCAACGGATGTGCTTGGAGAGGGACGTCTCTGAAGAACTGAACGCTGAACGCCAGGTGTCGTTGGATTCTCGGCGTGTTTGCGTCTACCGGAATGGCTGACAGCTGACTGCATCGACAAAGTACTTCTTAATGCTGTGAGGCGTCTCGAGACGAGAATAGAAAACAACAAATGCTTTCTAGAAGGCCCTGCCTGTATTCTTTTTTTATGGTCACGGGGGGATCCCCACCTGAATTTTTGTATTGATTGAACCGTGCCTTTGGCCGGCACTAAGTTACAGAAATTTTTACATCATTTGATCCTCAAGTGATCAATTTCTTACGTCGGCAAGGTTCCTGTCCTTCCATAGATTGGCATCAGAGATACAGGATGAAAACGTCTGTTGGAGACTAGTTGTTTCAGACTCGAAGATGACTCCATTTCTACGCTTCCAAAGCTGCCAACAGCAGGGCCGTCCCGGGAAAATTAGAGGCCCTGTACGATACTAAGAAATGAGGCCTATTAGCCTAGAAAAAAAAACTAAATATATGATATTATAAAGCATGCAGTATGTTGCAATAAAATATATATCAAGATTCAAGAATGATACCTATATTACATAATCTTTACTTGAATAACATCATTCTTTTAGTGTTCTTTGAAATGAAGTCTTCAATAATATGCTCATAATCAATCTTCTCCAACAGTTCACCTTCAAGTGCTATTATAGCCAAATCATTAAGTCTTTCTTGTGTCATTGTAGAACGCAAATAAGTCTTCAATAGCTTTAACTTAGAAAAGCTTCGCTCTCATTGATGCAACAGTGATCCAGAAGAATAGTCAACAAAACTCTATATGCAATAGTTGCATTAGGAAAACAACCATGCTCCTTTAAAACCGCAAAATTTCAACAGGCCCCATTCTTTCTTACGGAATGAAGTCTTGTAGAAACTTCAGCTCCATATATAGTTCTTTGGCATCAATATCAGATTTTTCATCCTTTTTAAGGACAGCCTCAAGATTATCACAAGAAGACTTCAAGCTTTGGTTATCCAACGACCGCAATGTTTCGAAGTAAATAAGAAACCAAAATTTTTTGGTATTCTTTGTACTGCTCAAATCTTGTTTCAGAGAGACAATAGCTTGATCAATAAGAGTGTTAAAATACTCTATTCTAAATAACTCCTCTCTGGAGACATTGTGGCAATATTTGTGTCTTACGGGTTCTCATCGTGATGCCTCTTTCTTGTAATTTTTCTTTTTTAGT